TATATATATATATATATATATACATATAAAACTTCCATGATTTTCTTCAGACTTCAAAGTTGCTTCATATATGCAGGGCTTAGCATAATCTTTAGCACATAGGATGTGCTCCAAAAGGTCTGATGAATGAATAAAGAAATAAGTGAACGATTAAATAATAAACAGTGAATATTCCTCACAAGAGTCATTCTATTCAATCTCAGCCCATCAGCTCCGACCTCTTCACACTTCCTCACGCTCTACCACTCCAAGTGTAGGGAAAATATCATATCAACCCAGTATCCATTAAGTAGCTGCTGGCTTTGAACATCATGCTGGCATTTTGTGAAAACAAAAAAAGAAAAAAAAAAAATTTCTAAGAGGAGCATCTGGTAATCTAATGCTAAAAACGTATCTATTAGAATTTTTTAATCAAAATAGAAAAATATTCTGAAGCGATCACTGAATTAGGAATTGAACTGAAGGATTAATTAAACTGATTTTTAAACTTATAGTGTGATGAACAAACTGACATCATAAAATATTTTTCAAAAAAATGCAAACCATATACAAAGTATACAATTATTATTTTAAATTATTCATCCCATTCAGTTCTTAGCATCTTCTGAGGCTTTTTAATGCAATTATATAATGACTAAAAATTATATTTTACTTAATATATAGAATTGATTTATTAAAATTTGCTTTATTTCTTGTAAAGGGTAATTAATAGTTTCTGGAAATACCTCATTACTCCCTAAATTGCAATGGAGTAGCCCTTTCTCAAGGGTTCATCTTGAAAGACTGGTTGATGATCCTGCTGACCTTAAGCTTTCTTGAGACTCTAGCTTCCACAATGTCGTATTATCAAGTTTCTCTTCTCTATCCCATTATAGTTTTCATTCTCTTCTTTCTCTGTATAAATGCTTGATTCTGTTTTCTTCCAAATCCACCTCTCTAGATTTTTCCCCAGGCCGTTTCCATTATTTTTTTGCTGGCAGGGCTGGAAAACCCACAGCATATACTCCACTACTTACCTCAATACCTCCTGTGACGTTGGTCAATTTTGCTAATTAACTGCAGAGTTTTCCCTTGATAAACATGGGTTGATAGATGACGTGTCAAAGTTTAGTCTGTCTTAAATTTGAGGAAATACAAACATACCTGGTTTGTGGTTCCATATGTACTTATCTGATCTCCCCTATTAGACTCTAAGCTGCTCAAGGGCAAACCTTCTATCTTCTTTGTTTTTGTTTTTTCCTCCCTCAACACTAAAAACAACACCTTGCACATGGCATAGCATTCAATAAATATTTGTTGAGTGAATAAAACTAGATAAATAAGTTAATATCCTAATCATGATAAGCATATTTTTCAATAAATATCAATTTGTCCCTTAAAAACCTTTTCTCACAATGTATTCAATATTATGTTTTCTACAGTCTTAATCTGACATCAAGTGACTAAACTTAATGAAAAAAAATTTAGTGTAATAAAAATTCAATCAGTAAATATAAACAAAATCCATTATTTAATCTTCAGTCTAAAAACTTATTGGAATATCCCCAATCACAACTAACATTATTTTATCTTATTTCTTATATATTTTTATTTTATATTTCTCATGAAAAGAAAAAAAGAAAACTATTCTGACTTGAATAAATGGACATCCTGGATAATTTAATGTATGATTTCACTTGAATATTTAACTTTCCTAAATGCAAAATCTGATTTTCTATTCAACTCTGTCTTCATCATTTAGAATGAGTATTACATGAATGCTAATTGTTTATGACTGCATTTGTCTGATCTGCCGTGTTTTAAAACTTGAATTTCATAGAAATAAAAATATTTTCAAATTACTTTAAAAAATTTGCCAGAGAATAAAATTTCCTTTTTTTTAAGCTGATAGTATTTTTTAAAATTCTCAAATGTGAAATACAACTAAGGTATTTTGGGGGCATAACATTGTTCACTGTCAACAGTTACATCAACAGTTTAATTCTCCTCAGTATCAAATATTGGCTAAAATATTTTTAAAAAAATATTTTGTATATATTGATTCTTTTTAAATGCATGGAGAATATTTTGGAAGAATGTTTTCCACAAAAGATTTATGGTTGTAGAGATTGTTTAATTATAGCAGACTTTCCTCCAATCTGACCCTGAATAAAGACCTCCCTCTCTGTATTTACATCAATCACCCAAGCATAGATATCAAGTTGTGGATTTCAAGGTGGTGGCCATAAATATTAAGCAATGTAAATTATGTTTGCCTAGATTTTACTTTGACTGGGATATTTCAAAGTTTATTAGAGTCATATAGAATACATCTGAAAAATGACTTACAGTCTATAACCTAGAGTTTGATCAAATGCAGAGAAAGCACACAACAAACAATTTCAAGTCAGTTAAATTTGTTTTGTCTACATGGTACTAAATAACCTGTTGGAATGTTATACTGTTCAAAGCTATTTTAGCATGATTCATATACAGATACAGCATATATTTTTGTAAATATTTGTAAAAAAACATAAAAACAAATATTCCATTAGTTCATAAATGCCAAAAATTACATAACTGAGAAAAACAGTTTCTACTTTTCCCCCAATTAACCAACAAATCCAAGAGTCAAAAGAAAAGTAGACCATTGCTGACCAGAAAAAAAATAAATGTTTACATAAAATAAAAGCAAAGAAAATATATAACATTTTATGACATACATCTTTTAAAGATAATCACTACAATTCACACACATATCACATATAATTCAGTTTGTTACAGTTGTCATTTGTCTAATTCTATATTAACCTATCTTTATGAACAAATTTATTTGCTTAATTTTTAAAATTATTTAAAAATTATTTTTAAAATTTTATTTTAACTGTTTACTTTTTCCAACATTTTAAAACATGTCATAATTTTGTGTATTGTATGATCTTTCATAATTTCTTTCATCAAACAATTTTTTTCATGTGGTCTTTGATGACTATAAGTACTCATTATCCAAACATATAAGTGAAAAATATTCAATCATGTTTATATGGTTATATGTAAATAAATGCCACATACTGGGATATCTAGAAACATCTATATGTCCGGCATCATGTTGACAAAACATCTGTGATGAATAACTGAGTTTGTCAAATTCTCTCCAGATACATGCTTATCACAAACACACAGCCTTTAGATGTTTAGTTTTGTCATATCCCTCCCCTGTAGAGTTTTTGTCTTATTGTGTTATTATACATATATGATTGATTACTGAAGAGCCTTCTTATTCTTCTTCAACAGTTATTTTATATGTATAAAATGTTTGTAAAATGTGCATTGTAAAAGACAAAGAAAAAAGATAAAGGCTGTTTCCACATAATATCTTAATTAGTTTAATCATGTCGATTTATTTAAACCATTGGTTCAGTAAAAAAATAATCAAACTGATTGTTTTATATAACTGTCTAGTTGTCAATAAAAATGGTCAACCCAATAGCCTGTAGAGAAGAAAACAAACAAGAAAGTGACTAGTCTATTAGAATTTCAAAAGGAATAGTAGTTTGCACTCCTCAAGATCCAGTGATTAGTTAAGTCTTGTCCAACTCTAGATCTGAAGTTCTAAGATCATGTGTGTCTAGATACAGACACAGAGAAAACCCTTTTTATGAAAACATACATTTTCCTGTGAGTCCCCAGGGAAGATGTCAGATTTGAAAGGAGAGATGCTTATGTTAGATTAGTGCTTTAGAGTCTCCAATGGCATGAAGTAATTATGCTTTTTAATTGATCAGAAAAGTTTTATTTACAGGACTCCAATCACACATACATTCCAGTGTAAGCCACCCAGGGAAAAACAAACAAAAAGGACCAAAAGTCACTATGAGTCCTCTCGGCATGGGCAAGGCTCTTCACACCCCCTCTGACACTCTTCCCTCTTTTTTAAAATTAGACTTGGACTAGATAATTTCCTAAAATCTTTCCTCATTCTATATAATTAAACGGATAAACAAAAAATCTTCTTTAAACCAGGTTTTACTTAAGTCTGTATTTGTCTTAAAGCACTTCTTCAATATGAAAAACAAACAAAATTTTAGGTAAAAGAAAATGAGATGATGCGAAAAAACACAGTCAGGGAAAAGGCTAAATGGGTACAACAGGATGTTTCAATTCAAATTGTTAAACTCATAAATGCAGTTTTCAAATTTTCAATTTTAAAATATAAAGAATGTTTCATACATACTCATAAGATTATTTTCAAAACCATATTTAGTGCTAAGCTTTCTAGCATGTTAGGCAAAATGTGAAACCTTGATAATTACAGTGTTTATAATGTGAAGGAGATAAACTAAAAACCTTTTATTTAAGCATATTTGAAAAATTCTGCATTATACTAAAATCAAAGATTTTTCCAAGAGTTCTCAAAAAAGAGAATATTCATTGAATTAACTATCACTGATCTCATAAAAATTACATAAATAATTTATATTACAAAATATAGCAGAATAATATTTAATGGTACAAAACCTTAATAATCTCACAAACTAAAAGAAACTGATCGATAACTTTCAAAATTCATTTTAAAAAACAAAAGAAAACATACAATGAAAAACTTCCCAACTATGGATTTAAAGGATGACCATATTTTATTGACAAAATTATTTGATAATGGTTTTAGAAAACTGGATACCAAACAAATCAAGCAAACAACCAAGAAACGGAACAATAAAAGAGTAAACTAAAAAGAAATAAAGAAAAACATGCTACAAAATCTATACACAAAACAAAATTTCCATTTACAAGAAATAAAATTGAAGTAAACATGCAAAAGACGCACCAAGAAAAGTAGAATACATCCTTGGAGAAGGAAAATAAAACATGCAAAAAAATAAGAGTTTGAGTTTCGAGAGTAACAAGGTAATTTGAGGCCCAATTTACCTTCACTATCTGACATGGCATGCTGGAAGTCATCCATGATGAACGCTATGTCACGGTCATAGCCTCTAGTCCGTGATTCTTCTCTCATATGTTGCTGAACTTCAGGCAATGAGTGACTTGATCCAAACTGATCCCTGGTGTCTGCAGATATTGGTGGTAGAGGTCCCGCTGCAGCCCTGGCCATTCCCATTGGTTGGCCAACAGGACTCAGTGGACTTTCTTCTTCTGAGTTCTGGGCCACAATTGGTATTCTTCCTCTACTCTGGCTAATTGGCAAACTAGTAGGCTTAGTTCTGCCAGAGGATGATGCATGACTAAAGGAAACATCTAGAGCTTCCGCCTCTTGAGCTTTTAGTCTTAAGGAAGAGCTGGAAGAATCTCTTTTAAGTGATAAATCAAGCCCATAGACAGAGGAAGGTCTGGAGGAAGGTCTGGACCTGCTGCCACTACTGTATGGCTTATCTGCTTCATCCTGCAGAGCTGACCGTATGGTACTTCCTAATGTGCTCAGTCCTGACCCAAGGGATGATCCCATAAATTTTTGTTGGTCTGTAATATTTTTTCTGAGACCAAAAGTAATATCATCTTGAAGAAGCCTTGCCCTGGAAGAAATGCCACCAATAGATGAAGTGCTAGAAGTCATATAGCTTGAATAATCAGGTTCAAGGTCTCTACTTTCTTGAATAGGTGAAAATTTTGACATTTTAGGGTCAATTAATGATTTCTTATGTTTTGACTGCTTTTGATAAAGTATGGCTGCTGGTAGTTGTTTTGCTGCTTGTTTTTCAAGTGTGAGTCTACTGATGCTGTATTTTTCAGATTTTGGAAAGTGTCTATAGCTAGTATCAGCATGGTAATAATGGGAAAGGCCAGCAAGGTGATCTAAGCTCTCTGCTCCTCTACGGAATTCTTGTTTAATCTGATGTTTCAGAAGTTTTAACTCATAAGGATCCTCCATTGCGTCTTCCTCTGCTTTCACATAACTGTGCAATCTGGAGGAAGTCTGTAATGGTGCTAGGAAATCTGTTACTTCTTGTGACCTACGTGTTTCAGTGGTTCTTAGGAGATGGTCTGTTTTTGACAGATCCTTTTCATGAAGGCTAAATGCAGTGCTTAACGCTGCTGTTCCTTTGGTTATCTCTCCAATGTCATCAATTAGGACATAATTTCGTGGAGTGTGATGGTCAATATCTGCATAGAAAGAATCAGCAGATATGCTTGATATTGGACTGCTTGCCATGCTACTTCTTTCTTCCAAACCTATTCTCAAGTCTAAACTATTGTACTTACTGCTAAGGTGGGAAACAGCATATGTTTTATCAGTAGAAACAGGTGCTATCATCAGGGGTTGGTTACGAATCACCTCATAGTTTGAAGTTATCTTGGGCTCCAAATATAATGTGGTTTGCCGTGGCTTTTGTTGTATCACCATCATCTGTGATGGTAACTGATAAGAAGGTTGTGGGGTTGGTGTAGGTTGAGCTTGAGGTGTGAAGGACATTGTTGCAACAGCTTGAAAGGCTGGCTGAGTCTGATAAGGTGAAACTTGCTGATGGTACAAAGTTTGTTGTTGAAAATGGGATTGTTGAGTGTATGGAGTCGGTGCTTGGGTAGGAAGAGCTGGGGAAGAGTACTGGTATTGTGTATAAGGACTTGTAGGAGGAACTAGTTGAGATTCTGGTTCGGTTTGTGGTGGTATAAACTGGCTGAATTCAGTTTGAGGAGCAGTTCTAGGTCGTTCTAAGCCATGCTGACTTTCTATTCGGGTTGGCCTGGCGCTGCTCACTTCACTGTCAGACATGTAATCACGATCCTCAGCTACTCCCTGGAGGTAGGCTCGCTCTCTCTTTTCTCTCTCCTTTAGTAATGCCTCTTTCCTCCTATTAATGCCCATTTCCAAGTACCGTAGTTTGGCATCAATCTCCTTTTCTTCCTCATCGAGTTCCGCTTGTTTCTTTCTAAGCTTTGCCGATTCCCTCTCCACTAGATCAAGCTCCCTGTCTATATCCTGGAGAATCTTGGCTCGTGCCATTGTGTTGGTTCTACAGATCCTTCTTCTAGAGGCAGTTCCCATTGCGCTGTATGTAGACTGAGCTCCCGTGGAAGTCTCCTCAGGAGGTGGATTTGGCAGAGTTCTCTTAACTTTTTTTTGGGTACCAGAGGATGTCATGGTTTGGGAACCTTTCGTCTATAATTCAGTAAACAAAATAGTACATTATTATCAAGGCGAAAAAATAAAAGACAAAAAAGGCTTTATAATTTATATTCAAATAAAAAGGATTTCATATATATATTTAGCTATCACAACATATTAAAATAAAAATTATTGTATAATTTCATGTATTGGTCACAAATGCAATTAATTGAAAAATAATTTTTCCTTTCTTGATAAAATGTTTATTATTATAACATCTGCAACATTAGAAAACTATAATTTTTTGATAAATCCATATTTCAAATTTTCTAAAAATGTTTATTTTTAAAAACATTAATACTTTATCCCATACTTTTGAATGTAAACTGACTATAATAAAGTAGAAATAAAACTAAAAACAAGACTTCATAATACTATTCTTAATTAATCTTTTTCCAAAATACTAACAAAGATATACAAGTTTTCTATTTAAAAACAAATTTCTACAATACCTTTTTCAGTCCTTTCAATATAACAGTGTTCCATCAGAGGCTGACAATAACTCACTATTTCTTTTCCCTTACATGTATTTAGTATATTTGATATATGCATAAGAGTTTTTATTAATATTTATTAACTTTAAAATTTAAAGTGTTCATGATTGAGGTTTTAAAATGGTTTAATAAAAAATTGCTTAATTATGTTACCTTGGAAGTGTTATGATATTGCATAATATAAACACCTTTCAAAGTAAGAACTCTCTTTCTCACCAGAAGTTAAAAACACCCATCAATTATTATACAACTAAATACTCATCTTGGCGGAGAGAAAGCACACAAGACAGATAATCTAAATATGGAATGAAGCAAAAAGAGATAAAAAGAAGAAATTTGGGGAATGCACAAGTAAATTTTGAAAATTAATTTAAAAATACTGTATCTGAACAAAGCAGTATAAATATTTTTTTGAATTATAGAATGAAGAAATGAAAGGGTAAAATAAAGACTTGTCATGACTATGTTTAAAGGTTCTGAATTAGGAAGTGCAATTCCAAGAGTTCACTGTTTGGAATGAGAGTATATCTGAAATCTTAGAGAAAAAACTATGAGGAACCACAACAAAGACTATTTATTGCATTAAGAGTAATTGTTAATGAAAAATAGAGATTGATATCAGTTCTTGTTAATATAGTTCATACTGGTCTGCATTTTTTGCCTAATTTAACTATGTTTGTCTGTTAGTCGTTAACAGCTTGTCTGCTAACCAAAAGGTCAGCAGTTCGAATCTACCAGCGGCTCCTTGGAAACACTGTGGGGGCAGTTCTGCTCTGTCCTATAAGGTCACTATGAATCAGAATCCAGTCAACAGCAATGGGTTTGGTTTGGTTTTGGTGGCACAGTGGTTAAGCGCTTGGCTGCTAACTGAAAGGTCAGCAGTAGAACCCACTAGCTGCTCCACAGGAGAAAGATGTGGCAGTCTGATTCTGTAAAGATTTACAGCCTTGGAAACCCTATGGGGGAGTTCTACTCTGTCTTACAGGGTCACTATGAGTCAGAATTGACTTGACAGCAGTGGGCTTGGTTTGGTTTTTTTAATCTGTTAAAACTCTTCATTCAAGAAAGTAGACTTATGCAATCTTAACAATTTTTCATAAAGTACTAGACTAAAGAAGCCTTCCAGGTATTAAAAATTTCTTGAATTATCCCCCATTTTGCAGATATTTAATGATCCACGACTTGTTAATTAATATTTTGTGAGACAAGAATACGAATCATAGAAGCAATAGAAAAAGCTGGCTGGTAGATGGAAGTCACAGAGTTAGCCTAGCTGATCATGCAGTCTCCAAAAATCTAAATAGTTTTCCTCTTCTCTACTTATATCTGATAACACAGTAGTTTTTAACCAGACTATAGAAGTAGTCAGAGATGTGTCAAGGTCTCCACTATATCCTTCATGAATGAAAGGCAGTGTAACATAGTGATTAAAAGCTCAGGCTCTTGGGTCACACTCTCTAGAGTTTCAATCCTGGTTGTTTCCTTATGAACTGTGAGAACTTTGGCAAATTGTGTAAATTCCCTGGGCCTTTGTATTATTATCTATAAAAAAAGGTTAATATTAATTTTAATATTATTATTGGTTTGTCTAAGTAAATCAGTTAATACAAGAGGTTAGTCTAGTTTTTGACCCAGATATATCTTTCTAATCTATTGATCGATCTATCGATCAATCTATCAATCAATCTATCAATCTATCTATCTATAAATTTTCCTTCAATGTTGTACCAAATACCTCAATGGGATGTACCCTAATTGACTATTCTAGTTGAAATCATTGGTCCCAAAATGACCAAGGCACAGAGTTTCTGTTTTCAATAAAACTATCTGCTGAGTAATTCTATATAACAATAAAGCTGATTTTACTCTCAATTCTGTATCACAACAAAGCTGATTTGATTCTCAATATTTTAACCTGCAGCCTCTGCCAAAAATCGAAGGAATCAAAGAGAAAATAGCACAGTTTTCAAACTTAGTTTCTAATAAAGTCAGTCCCCCATTTTCAGATTTATAATCTTAATGAAGGAGGCTTAATCTGGCACTGTCATGGAAGTGTTCTAAAAATGTGTTTTCAATTGAAAAGATATCCTAATCCCTCTTAAGTGACAACAGGTGCTTTGCTATAAAGGCATCCTTTCTATTACAGCATCCTATTAGAAAGATTAAAGTAGGTATGCATGTCTTGCTGAAGGGAAAGCCTTCTTACTAACTGTCCAAAATAAATTGTATTTTCCGAGGTGTATTGGTCATGAAGAATATAAAGAAAATAACTTTAATAAAAAGAAAAACAAAACAAAACAATCAAATACATTTGATTTCTAGGCCATAAAATTCCATAGAAGTAAATGTTAAAATTAACTTTATCCTTGGAAAATTAAGACATCCTTCAATTAAGTCCATTCATTCATTTATTTCTTCAACGAAAAATTATTTTGCATCTCTCATAAATAACAGTTAATAATAACACTTAGATTATTACTCGGCTGGCATCTATTGGCATCTTGCAATACAAAATCTTCTTAAAAATTTTATAAATACTTCTAGGAATATGAGTATATTTTGCCTTCATATGGATAACAATTACTTTTTTAACATATTCTAATTAAGGATTGGTAGATTCTCATAGTAGTTCAAATATCAAGACCTGGCTTAGCAAAAAGGTTACATTCTGAACCTATCAGAAAGGGTGAGAAATGAAGGCTAAGAAGCCCATGATATGGAACAAAGAGGGGAAGATACCAAATAGAAATTTTGCTTAAGTCATTTTTTTTCTTATGAATAACTTTGCATCATGGTGCAAGATTTATAAATTAGGGCTTTGAACCAGTTCATTCTGGTTCAAACCCCTGATAAGAATTTGAATTTCTAACAAGTTCCCTGCTTAGAATTTGCATTTCTCACAAATTCCCAGGAAGTTATACATAAGAATCACCTGGAAATTTTGTTACAATGTAGATTCCGATTCAGTGTATCTGGGGTGGAAATGTAAATTCTCAGCAGAAACTTGTTAGAAATGCAAATACTTAGTAGGGGTTCCACACCCTGTTATAAATAGGTAGGTTAGATGTGACACATAAGAGTATATAACAATAAGAACAGCATTTAATCAGTATTTGTCCACTTTTTTGTTTTTATCTTCCAAACACAAGAGCTGCAGGACTGCCTTACAGGTAACTACAATATAGAATTTATTCTAGTTGCAATTTAAAAAGAACTGACTTCCAATACCATAAATAACTTCTAAGGTGGGCTTCTTTCGGACTCGAACTTTCTATCATTAGGAAGTTGTTTGGACTATGACAATATTTTCAGTGGTTTTATTTAAATCGGTAGTGATAAAACACAGGCCACTTTAGGTAAGTTCTAATTGAGGATGAAAATGGAGTATTATCTAGACTACATCAAAATAAAAAAAAAACCCAAACCTGTTGCCATCGAGTTGATTCTGAATCATAGTGACCCTGTAGGTCAGAGCAGAACTGCCCTGTAGGGTTTCCAAGGAGCAGCTGGTGGAGGTGGATTCGAACCTGTCGACCTTTTGGTTAGCAGATGAGCTCTTAACCACTATGCCATCAGGGCTCCAGATAGGTAACACATGGGTGAGACAGTTTAATGTGAGATTAGAGAAAATGGAGGAACCCTGGTGGTGCAATGGTTAAGCTCTTGGCTGCTAACCGAAAGGTGAGCAGTTCAAAACCTGCCAATTTCTTCCCGAAAGAAAAGACTTGGAGATCTGTTCCCATAAAGATTTCAGCCTAGGAAACCCTATGCGACAGTTCCACTCTGTCCTAAAGTGTTGCTATAAGTTGGAATTGACTTGATAGTACATAACAACAACAGACAAAATGGAGGTGGATGTGTAGAGCTGAGAGTTTGTCTGATATGTCAAGATCTACTCCAGAAGACCGCTGCCACGAATAAATAAATAAAGCTTTAATGATGTATGATCTGGTTTTTTAAAAGAAGTAGGAAATCTGTATTTTAAAACTGTTGTGTCTTATTCAAATGCCTCCAAAACACTGTTCAGGCCAAAGAATCCAAGGCTTTGGGTTTCACAGACAGTTTGAAACCTCTGATCTAAAGAAGATTTTTCTAGCATATGTGGAGTGCCCACTGAGAAGTCCTCAAACAGAGTTACTCTCTAGTTGAGAGAAAACAAAAGGCTTTAAACAATGAAGGAGAATGTGAGAAGGAGAATGCAATAGCATTCAGACCTTCAGAACTTCATTAAGTTTGATAGAGTTGTACTTCATCATCTCTGGTTAAATTTTAAATATCATCACTCAAGAATTTGTCTCCACAGCACACTGTTTTCTCAGCTATTCTCCCTAAAATATATATAACTATTTACTCACTTAAAGAGATATTCATTAAGTGCTTACTCTGATCAAAGCATTTTAATGGGCATTTTTATACTTAGAAAACCCAAACTGTAGAACCACTAAAGTACATAGATTAAAATTTCAAGTGTGTGTGTGCGTACTTTATTTAAGGATTGAT